TGGTCCTACATTATATATAGAATATTAAATGATTGATTCGTAAAAAAGTTTTCAATGCTCCTTAATTTCTAAAAAGTACCTATTTACCTATTTAAGTATTTTACAAGTTTGTCAATTCTTCCTTTAAATTATCCTACTTGTCCACCCTGCCACAAAGATGTGTGCAGATTGTTAATACAAAAATAACAATAATTTATTTTACTATAACAATCCTAAATAATTATATTTATTTTTAATAATCTTGAGGTCTTACCTTAACATAAACATCTGTTTTTTTTGTCCATGGTGTACGAAGTTTTATACTACACAATATATATGCTGGGCACATAGCATTTTTTGAGTTTCCTTTCTTATTGTCTTCTTTAGAAACCTTTTGGAAACTACTATGATGACAAACATACTTTTTTCTATAATGAGTATTATTATTAAAAATTAAAATTATCATTTATTATTCTCTAAACTAGTTAAATAATAAGTTAAATATATTATTTAATTTTAAGGTAACATGTTACCATTAACCATAAATAAAGTAAATAATTTAATAATGTTATGATTAGAGCAAGGACTTTCATGCATTCACACATTTTTCTAGTTAACTTTTTCGTATGTAAAGTAAATACACAACACATTTCACAATGTCTGTGACCAAAGGCTCAACATTTTTAGTGCATATTTTTGCATATTTTGATATTTTTAGGTTTAAAGTACATACTTTTTGATGCAAAAGTGCATGTTTTTAAATGCATATTTAATTATTTTTTAGTGCATGAAAGTCCTTGCTCTAACTTATGATACATCAACATTCATTCAGTGGTTAAAGTGTAAAAATTTGAAGATCCCCCCCTTTAGGTCAATAAATTAAAAAAAATTACAAGTTTTATAGTCGTCCCAGACCATTATTATTTAAATCATAAAAATACCTATTTTTGTTTTTATTTAACTAGATATGATTTGAAAAGAAAAAGAGTTTTTACAATATTTTGTAAAATTCATTATTGTTAAAAAATAAAAAGATACACTTGTATTATTAAACTGAAAGGATGGAAACTAGAGGTAATAACATATTGGAAATCTTGGCTCTATCATTATAAATACTGATGCAATTATAATTTTCTTTCCAAAAATATTATGTCAAATCAGTACCTATTTATATTTCATAATTAATTTTTTATAATAATAAACCAAATACATAAAATATTACAACTTCAAACAAGTATCTGATCTTTAGTATATAGCCTATAAACTATAATAATATATTAAATATCATAGCTACTATACCCAACTATTAGAGGTACCTCAATTTCTTTATACAACCATACATTATAATATTAATATAATATAAAACATTGTTGCATGATATAATAATATATTTTTAATTGTTTTCATTATATAAAAATATGTAAACATATTATAATATTATTTTTCTTTATTATAATACACCTAACTGAATTTATATATAATTGAATCATTACAATTAAAACTACATGGGATGCAAAACAATGTAACTTTATATAAAAGGCAGAGGACTCTGTTTAACAACAATAAATAAATTATTGGAGCTTCAATTTTATTTTATCATATTTATCATTATATAATACATTCATATAGGTAGGTACATATAATTATGTAATTTCAACTTTTTTTTAACAAAAAAAACCAATACTTAGATTAGTTATAGGTAATTAACAAAATTGATGTCAAGTGCCTGCTATGACTATTGTCTATTAGTAATAGGCTAATAGCCAATAGCACAGTTATCTACTCTAGTAGCCAATAGCCAATAGGTAGATACCACTATACACAGGTACACTTACGAACACAAAATTTTGGTTCCTGCTGGAATGGAGCTTCTTGCTATCCAGTGAGTATTTGTTAAAGAACCATATTCATTCACCCACTGCTTAATATCATCTACAGAGTTTAAATTACTTCGAATTTCTATAAAATTTAATTTTTCCTCTTTTATTTTATTGGTAAATGATTTAGGATACATTTTTATATAAGTATTAAACACTATAGTAGAGTTGTTGTATATGTCTATTTTTCTATTTTGTATTTTATTTATTGATTAATTAATGATATAATATGATATGATTATATTTTAATTAATTGATTTATTGATATAATATGATATGATTATATTTTAATGAGATAAAGATAAAAACGGCGGGTGATTTAAATCCAGCCAATCAGGAGAGCCCGGTTGTGAAACAATGTATGGTATGGTAATATGCCTCCGGTCGGTCGTCGTATCGTCACTACTGTTTTTTTTTTTTTTACGATACGAGAAATCGTTTATCCGTATCGAATACGCGTCGTTTTGTTTTCGGGGTCTCCGTTCTCGGACGCCTCCGCGACCTTATCGTCTCGATAGCGTACGAAATACGAATATATGTGTATATATATATATATACATATAATAATAATATTATATAAAAAAAGAAACGTGCGTATTGTTGTTGACGTACGTCAGATCGTGTTTATTATATACAAAAAAATCGCAAAATCCTTGCTCTTCAGTCGTTGTAATGCCTTTAATCGCATACCTTTGGGGCGATATCGTGATTTGTGTCTGTGATAATAAACACGGTACGTCAATAAGACGTATACGATTAAATAATGTAAACGAATACGTCGGAAACACTCTAAACGACAATAAACGTGCGATTTACGGTTTCGTGACACGCGAATCGTAAAAATCGTATCGCTTAAACGACGTATAATGTAGTATTCGTCGCATCTCTATAACGGTTTAAGTGCTCGAAATTCGATTGCGGTTTTCAACTCAAACAGTAGTCAATAAGTGTTAGGATAGGTTCCCCAACTTTAGGTTGGCAGGTTTGAACCCCGTTCCGGCGATATTCGGGTGGCTCCATAAGGAACTGTGTATAACGGATTTTTTGCATTTTTTTTTCATTTAATTCGATCGTTATTAATTGTCGTTTTCGTTTTGATATCTAATCTCACACTACTACTCATAAAATATTTTTCAAATTTTAAAAATGAGTTTTGATCTCTCACGTTTAATTTTATATTGCTCGATTGATGATGTCAAAATATATTATATTACAATATACTTTATACGTACATTAAATTACACAATAGTATTCGATTAAACCAATTATAGTTATTGCTAACAGTCTGCACAATTCAAATGTACTTTTGTAATATGAAATTTATATTATAGCCTGAGGACATTCTATTGATAACAATACAGTTGTTTCACTCAGTTTTGACCGTGAATTCACTATTTTATATGTTAAGCCTTTCAGTTGTTTACACTTGAAAGATACAGGGGAAAAACAGTAGCACATTAAATATTTTGTCATCACAGAAAGTGCATAATATTTCTTTTCGATATCCAACCCATCTATAAAATATCAAAAAAAATATTAATTATGTATAGGTTTTTGATCTACAACTCGCTAACGTTTGACATGCGTTTTAACATCTCTCCTATACGCCCACATCGTCCGCGATCCGACGCGGTCGGATCGCTTACCTGGGAGGTTCAAACGCGTTTAACAGGATTTTCAGTGGTGATCGCTTGAAAAATCGAGCGCTCGATTCGACTTAAACTTTTTTGGGTAATAAACAGCACAACGCTTTCGACGTCAGGAGGTATGACAATCCGCCGCAGGCGGATTGCCCTGTCAGGAATCGATATTCACTGGACGATGACTGATAACTAGACACTTAATTACTTTTTCGGAATGTATTTATTTATTTTCCAAGCACAAAAGAACAGGGCAAGCTACGCGGATTGCCCAGTCGAGTAACGACAAGCACCGGGTAATGACTGATAGCTAGACATTTAATTACCATTTCGGAATGTATTTATTTATTTTCCATGCACAAAAGCACAGGGCAAGCTACGGGACAAGGTGTATTACACCTGTGAATTTAATGAAATGACCGACCACTAAACGTTCGAATTGGACTTTTATATACTTTTATTTAGTGTTTGGCAACGATATAATTTTGTGTATCGATATCGTTCAGATTTTTCCGATATTGTATCGCGATATCGTTATTAGTACGATATCGATATCGTATCGTATCGTAAATATAATTTTATGTTCACCTAAGTCCTAAACAATTTAAAAAAAACTTTTCGTATTCATATAATTAAATTTTTATCACACTAAGGAATTTACTATATTAAGCTATAATTAATATTTATTATTTATTATTGGTACACCAACATCGTCAATCGTCGGTATTATAATTCCTACGGACACAATCACTGGGCAGTGTTGACTTTTGGGGAACTTGTTTTTTATTACACGATTTACACTGAGTGGTAGGCCGTCTTGATCTTCGGACACGAAACATAAATCCGGAGATGTTTTCGTGCCCCATCTTCCGGATTCAAATGTACCCCCCTGTTTAGCATCGTAAATCAACTTAAATTGGTTTATAGCAGCCCAGTTTGAGAGTAATTCACCATCTTCATTTTCAGCCGTATATCCCCATTCTGTGCTGTGAGAGTTAAAGTCTCCAACATATATTGAGGGATGCTGGCACACTGGCAATACCGACGGCGTCCAGTTGCACGATGGGGGTTTGTATATATTGTATATGGTTAATTCACCTATACGGATACCACGCGAGTGTTCGTTTCCATCAACATTTATGGCGTTAAGTGAGGATATCTTCTTCTTGTTAATATAAGTGGCCAACCCATGCCTCCTGTGTCTAATGTAGTTTACCATATGGAAACCGTCTATGCGTAGTCGGTTTATTTCATCTTCTGGTACATGGGTCTCTTGAATAGCTAAAACGTCTGCATCAGGGAATAGCTTGTATATTATATCGGCTTTAGATCTAGTTAAACCTTCCACATTAATTTGTACTATTTTTATATTGTTATCTATGCTTAGCTTGCCTGTAGTGTTACTTAGTTTACTGTTGTCTTGGTATTTTTTTGGTTTTGAAATTCTCTTATTTATTTTTTTGGTTTTGTATTTGTTATTATTATTATCCCGGGTCTCATGGAGAGCATGATTGTCATAGGGGTAGCCCTGAAAAGGGCTTTTTTCACCAATAAGGCCGGGAGGTCTTTCGACGTTCGGCCGCCTGGTTTGTGCTGTTTGGCTTCGTGTTGACATACTAGTGATATCTTAAGGCATACGCGTTTAGTATTACAGGTATTTTCAACACTACTAGACAGGGGGGACCACGAGAAGGTACAGCACACACCCCCCCATAATATAATTAATTAGCCCGTAATCCGTATCGTGTACGTCAGTCCGTTTTTCCCAGCGCCACACTCAACCAAAACCATTCAAAATAAAAATAGTAAATATTAAATAGGTACGTCGCGACTCGTGACCACAGACTTCTATAGAAGTCTGTGCTCATGACGGGCGACGATAAAAATCAGCTATACCCGCACCGCGCTCCACCATAGCTACGGCGGCTGTTATAAAATACAAATTTATCAGTATTGTTGGTTCTTATCCCTCCAAAAATGATAATCTGGAATCTAGATAAGCTGCGTCGCGTCATAGACCTTATACTAATTGACGGAGCATCACTGGTTGGCGGGGTTGAGTGGTGCGGTCAAGACTATTCTCATAGCAGTGTTGCCATTGCTGACGACATGAAATATGTTTGTTCTAATATTTTTTATACAATATAATAATAATAATTATTATTAAAACATTTAAAAAACGATTTGCCCAATAAATAATCCCGAAAACTTTGTTTATCCAAAAAATAACCCTATAATAAAAAAAATTGTGTTTCTAGTTTTTTACCTAATTATAAATATGTAATACACTAATACAATGTTAGTAATTTATAAATATAAAATAAAATAGCCAATTTTTTCAATCATGGTAAATTAGTTTGAAATGTCAATAATATATAAACTCTTAAAAACAAAATTAAAAATCAATATTTTTTAAAACAGCATAGTTTTATTTTCATATTATTAATTAATAAGAATATAATATTATAATTTCAGTATTTTATTCATTTCGAAACAGTATAAGTTTTGTATATTTTTTCCTCATTGATACACATTCCTTTTTTTCTTTAATAGAAGCTGCATGGTGGAATCTTAAGTTTAGGTATTGAGTAATTATTAAAGCTATAGCTTGATCCCTATGTGTATTAAACAATTGTTGACCACTACAGTGTTTATTCAATTCTTGAAATATGGATCTTTGATAAATATTTCTTTTAATTTCATTTATCATTTTATTTTTTATATTTGGTAAATATACATTATATGACCGAAAAACTCTCTCTGCTACTTGACAAATTTCGACCACGTCTTGAGATGGTTTAATTAATGAATTATTTCTGTCCTTTATCTGTATTAGTTTTGATGAGTGCCCGGTTTGGTCAACAAAATATGTATGACAAGTCTTACAGTTTATTCTTTTTTTTTAATTTTTTCACTATGAAGCCAGCAATATAGGTAGTTACATCCTCAACATATGGTGTAATATTTTTCAAGGCTTTATAATAATCATGATCCGAGATTATCGAAGTACTAAGTTGTTCTTGTTCTAATTCATTTTCTATAATACAGTCTGGTCCTACATTTACAACAGACATTTGTGTACTATCCAAAATGGCAATACAGTTTCCATATTGTGACCCAGAAATTTCATTATGAATTAATAATTTCTTGTAAGCTGTTTTAAATTGTTTGCATGTGGGATTATTATTAAATCCTCCTCTTTGTCGCACAGAGCTAAAAAATGTCTCTAGATGGTCTTGAGATAATTTGTAAGATAATAAATATTCAATTGAATATTTATTATGAATAAAAGAATATAATTTCAGCAGATTATTTAAAGCTTTAACTAGGCCAATAAATCCAGTTTTTCTGCCACTCTCTATCACTTTTTTACCATTCTCCAACTTCAAACTATATATGTATTCTTCAAACTCAATGCTAAATTTTCTATAGCTGTCTATACTTCTTTCATCTAGTGACACATTGAATGGGCTCTTTGAATATTTTGACCGACAATTTAAAATATCAAATGCGTTATTAATCATCAAACAAAATTTAGAAGTACCATCAATATCGTTAAAATATTTATTGCCTAATGATTGACAAAATTTAAGCGCACCACTGACACTGTTACTTAACACTTGAGCTGCTAATTTAACATTCATCTTTTCATTAAAATAATATATGTGCCTTTTGGTTAATTTTGTCGCAACTTTTAAGCCCTCATTTTGTTCTATCTGATATAATTGTATTATGTGTTCCCATTTGATTGATCGTCCCTCGTCATCAAAAATACACTTATAATCACCTAAAGTGTTTCGTATTAATTTCAACATGTGACATGCATCATAGAAAATATACATTGGATCATTAGTAAAAGGATTTTGGATACAAAAATGGTTTTCATCATCGTTACTCATTATGTTAAAAGAAGCACCTAAGTTTTTACACATAGTTCTGTTGGAGTAAGCACCATCAAAAGTTAAACTGTGGACTTTTGCCCCTGTCTCATTCAAGAGTTGTAAGCAATTTCTTAGTAAATTACTACGTTCAGCACCATTCAGTCCTCCAATAAGAAAATATCCCAATGGCATTTTCCAATGTCCATTGATTCCTACAGCCATAAATAATAATGCATTTTTAGCATGAACTAGGTTATCACCATCACAATTATTAATGTTTGCGCCCATATCAACAAATCCATGCATTTTTTCCCCATCCCACTCTATATGGTCTCTTATGCACATTTCATCCACAACTAAATTACAAATAATTGTTTGATCCTTGGCTTTAGTTTCAATACAACTAAAAAAAATATTTTAATGTAAAATTTTCAATTATTTTAATATTGAGTATTAGTAACTCACTGAAATGCTTCACTAGTAAAACCAGGTTCACCATTTACGACTTTATACCATTTACTTATAGTCTTTTGGTGAGGAAGAACGTTTTTAAAACTCTTTCTAACATACTCATAGGCCTTACTTGAATAAAATTGAAGTGTAATGGAAAACTTTCTCAGTTCTGATGTAAAAGGTATTTTCTGTCCCAACATTTTACGCTCAACCAAAGAACGCAATGTATCAGATCCCAATGACTATTTTAAATCAAATATTATATTATATAGTAATATTGAAAAAAATCCATTCAACAGAAAAATATCAAAATTAGTAACTAGGTAAAAATGTAAATGAAATAAATGTAGTTATGTAAAAA